ACCCCAGAGTCCCATGGATACCACCATGAGATGATAGCAATCCCAGAGTCCCATGGATACCACCATGAGATGATAGCAACCCCAGAGTCCCCTGGATACCACCATGAGATGATAGCAACCCCAGAGTCATCTGGATACCACCATCAGATGATAGCAACCCCAGAGTTCCATGGATACCACTATGAGATGATAGCAACCCCAGAGTTCCCTGGATACCACCATGAGATGATATCAGCCCCAGAGTAATCTGGATACCACCATGATAAGATAGCGAACCAATGTTCCCTGGATACCACCATGGGATGATAGCAACCCCAGAGTTCTCTGGATACCACCATGAGATGATAGCAACCCCAGAGTTCCATGGATACCACCATGAGATGATAGCAACCCCAGAGTCCCCTGGACACCACCATGAGACGATAGCAACCCCAGAGTCCCCTAGATACCACCATGAGATGATAGCAGCCCCAGAGTAATCTGGATACCACCATGATATGATAGCAACCCCAGAGTTCCCCGGATACCACCATGAGATGATAGCAACCCCAGAGTTCCATGGATACCACCATGAGATGAGAGCAACCCCAGAGTCCCCTGGATACCACCATGAGATGATAGCAACCCCAGAGTCCCATGGATACCACCATGAGATGATAGCAATCCCAGAGTCCCATGGATACCACCATGAGATGATAGCAACCCCAGAGTCCCCTGGATACCACCATGAGATGATAGCAACCCCAGAGTCCCATGGATACCACCATGAGATGACAGCAACCCCAGAGTTCCTCGGATACCACCATGAGATGATAGCTACCCTAGAGTCCCATGGATACTACCATGAGATGATAGCAACCCCAGAGTCCCATGGATACCATCATGAGATGATAGCAACCCCAGAGTCCCCTGGATACCACCATGAGATGATAGCAACCCCAGAGTCCCCTGGATACCACCGTGAGATGATAGCAACCCCACAGTCCCATGGATACCACCATGAGATGACAGCAACCCCAGAGTCCCCTGGATATCACCATGAGATGATAGCAACCCCAGAGTCACCTGGATACCACCATGAGATGATAGCAACCCCACAGTCCCAAGGATACCACCATGAGATGACAGCAACCCCAGAGTCCCATGGATACCACCATGAGATGATAGCAAACACAGAGTCACATGGATACCACCATGAGGTGATAGCAACCCCAGAATCCCCTGGATACCACCATGAGATGATAGCAACCCCAGAATCACCTGGATACCACCATGAGATGATAGCAAGCCCACAGTCCCCTGGATACCACCATGAGATGATAGCAACCCCACAGTCCCATGGATACCACCATGAGATGATAGCAACCCCAGAGTCCCATGGATACCACCATGATATAATAGCAACCCCAGAGTCCCCTGGATACCACCATGAGATGATAGCAACCCCAGAGTCACCTGGATACCACCATGAGATGATAGCAACCCCACAGTCCCCTGGATACCACCATGAGATGATAGCACCCCCACAGTCCCATGGATACCACCATGAGATG